CCTCTCACATGGGAGGATCCACTTTTTTAAAAAAAAAATTTAAAACATACGGATCCCGCACTCATGTGAGAGGTTGTCAACCTCGGTTGTCAACTTCTTATGTACAAATAGAATTTTCCTTTCTAAAGCTGCTTTGTGCCTTGAAAACACCCAACTCTTCAATAATCAGCGTGCTTCCTAGCCCTTTGTGATGTCTCGTGATGTATGCAATGTGCCATCACCTTAGAAACAAGAGCTCTTCTCCTCAGATTCTTCATTCCAGATTTATCATCCCTACCGAAGAGCTTCATCCCTTAAAAATAGGACTTCTTCACTTCAGATTTACCAACTTGGAGCACCAACCTTGTCTAGTGTCACCTCAGAGGTAAATGTCTAATATTTGCAACGAGTTGTTCATCACCTGTCAATTATGATGATCAAGTTATGGTTTATCTCCTCGTCACTCTACTGCATATTTCAAAATCTCATCCATGAATTTTAAAGAAAATTCATAAATCCTCGTCTAGTTGACAAATATTTCGAAGCCTATGTTAAGACTATGCAGCCTATGACGGCTATAAATTGACACAATTGTACTTGACAAGTAAGTTGTTGAGATGAAGTCAGGTGTCAAACATTTAGAGGTCATGTTCCACCTATAAATACTTGGTTTTCTCTCCTCTTCAAGGGTAATCTTAATGTTCATCTTCAATTGCAATCTTGAAAACTCTCTTCTACCCAATATCCATATTTTTGTCAATTGTCTATTACACACCCAAATTCGTCTGACTTGAGTATCAGAATGCAAGTGATAGTTGCACCCATTGGAGCTATAGTTTTGTGCAATCTAGCGTCGTGTTCAAATGTGCACGTAACATATACATGAATGGAGGAGGAGCCCAAATTTATTGATAGTTGGATCCTGCCGGATTTAGAAGTCAATACTAGATAATATTAATTTATTTTTATTTTAATTTTAATAATTATAAATAATGAATTAATCTAGTATTCAAATTTCAAAGGTCAATCCCATGGTGGAGCTTGCAAATGAGGAGTTGAGTACTAGCTTTTGTTTTTATTTATTTTGATCCTACGGAGAGAAGGCACAAGAGAACTCGACTCTAAATTCCAGATTAGATAAAAGGAAAAAATTTAACCTCAATAACTCGTTGAAAGGGGGTCATTTGTATTCCTTCTTACTAACTTCAAAGTGAAGCAATGGAGAAAAGTAAAAGAGAGAGCTCGACTGCGACATTACTGGTATGCCCATCGGTTTACTTCCCGCTAACTTCATCCATGGTAAAAATGATGCCAAGAACAAGAAATTGAATTGTATTACACAAGTATTCATTTTCGCGTTCTCTTTTATCTACATCTATTGTCACCCGTTGTTGTTCTCTTTTCAATCCATTGGCAGGTAAAGATTGAACCAAGAAATGGCAGCGGGGTGGGTTAGGGGCGGGGCACCGCCACCCCACCCCGCCCCGTGCCCTGCCCAGCCTTAGAGGGGGGGCTGGGGCGGTGCGGGGCGTGGGCGCGGGCATGCCCCGTTTCCTGCCCCCTTTTTTTACAAACTTTTTTAGTTAAAATACAAATTTTAAATTTTAAAATCCAAAGTAAATAAAACTCAAATTAACTACATTAATATCCAAAGCAATCACTCGCCTCGAGACCCGATAGGTGGCGGCGATCCCATCCTGCCAACCCGTCGAGGCGGAGAGGATTTTTTTGCCATCACTAATTGAACCCAAAACTCATATAAGTTCATAATTTATGGTACATGAGTTTTCTTGATCATAAAATATCTATATCAAATTGCAAAAGTTCAAAAAATATATATATCCAAGCCAACATGACTGACTACTATACTAACTGCACTTATAGACAAACAACGAAAATTTATGAGTAAACTTAATTAATGCTCACCCAACTTTGCATTACTACTTGCTCATCGAACAATACCTATCTATCCAATTGTTGATAAGTTCATTACCCGTTTGATCTCCATCATCCTCAACTAACGAAATGTGTCATGTGGCAGACCGATAAACATACAAAAAGATACAACAATTCATCCCGTACCTTCATCTTCTCCCTCCAATTCATCCGTACCTCCAGGAACCTTCTTAAACTTCTAAATCTCTCAATTCATCCTGTACCTTCATCTTCTTCCTCCATTTCTTGGACCATGAATACGTGTGTTCTATTAAAACAAACAGACATTGGTTTAGGATCAGTGCATCCTTCATCTTTCCCTCCATTAAAGAGTTAAGACTGCAGCAGAGCCTAGTCCGTGATGCGCATGCCCATTAATCTGTGCAGTTCATGCTGCCACATTATGAGAAGAAACGCAGCTAAATGATCCCGAGCATTTTCAATGCTCCCACATTTTGGGAGCGAATTTGGGTTTCAATTTGGGACGCTTCTTTCATGTGTACATGTCCTTATGTGTGTTGCAGCAACGGCTCTTTTGGATGTGGAAGTTGCGGCATCTCACACGGTGTGTGAGTTTTGTTCCTTCGATTACAAAATTTCATATTCCCTTTCCATGTTAATAATAACAAATTTCAACACCAATATTCACTACAGAAGTATGCATTTGTGTTGAACAAAAACTAAATTAGAGAGAACACCATGAACGAATTGAAGATGGAGGTTCAAGATTGAAAGTTGTGTGTTTCTTGGGACTACATAAAAGCGTGTTATTTTAATAAATGGGGCTTTTTGCGCTTTTGCCCATTTGGCCTGACTTCACAGTGTGATGTACCAAGTTGGATTCTCGTCAGTCACGCGACAAATTTTGTTAGTTACATGACAAAGATGTGATGGGTGATGAATGAATAAGCAATTGGATAGATGGGTGAGAAACAAATTATATTTTATTGTTCGATGAGCAATTATTAATGTAAAATAAAGTTAAAAGAACATTAATTAAATTTACTCAAATTTATTCATATTTCACAACCAAAACCATTGCAAATTTGCAACCATGATTTGCCCATATTTGATCCCCATTTTCTTGGGGAAATGTGCATTGGAATAGTGATTTCTTGAAAAATATGTGGTTTAAAATAGGTGAAAAAATTAGAGAATGTTAGGTTGAAAATGAATTTTGAAAAAATAAGTTTTGAGCTCAAATAACGGTATGTTACCCAAAATGAAACATAGTTAATTAATAAACACACATCATTCTATTGTAGAAGTACGCGAAGAAAAAATATTCCTAACATTCAAATGCAATGCTTACAATCACATTAGGTAAAATTCATCTTCAAAATCGACTTGTAGAGAGAAATTGCTAAAGTAGGTAACAACTACACAAATCGATCTTTAACTCAACGAAATAGGACTCAATTATCAACTTAAACTCACTCATCTCCTCAGAACGAACATAACATTCACGACTAGGACTGTAAGCAAAATCGTCAAATCGAATCGAAACTGCATTTTAGAAACCGTCGGTTTGGTGTCACATGAACCCGTCAACGAAATGGTTTTGAACCAAACCAAACCGGTCAAAAACAGTTTGGTTTAGGTTTGAGAATTTTAATTGCGATTTAAAATCAAACTGGATCGGGGAAAAAATATATAAAAATAAAAAAAAATGAATTTTTTTGAAAATTCATCCAAATATGTAAAATTCAATAGTTTTGTCATTGTGTGTATTTTTGTCAATTTATAATTTTCTATTACATATATATTATTATTACCAAATAATCCTAATTTATATCTACTAATCTCAAAACTAACATAATCTATCAAAAACCATTTTTATCTTCAGAATTCAAATTTCTACAGTTGCTTCTGAGTCTGCATTCTCAACTGGAGGTCGGATACTTGATTCCTTTTGATGATTCAATGAAAATTGTGGTAGGTGATTTATATTTTCTATTACCATATTTTTAAAGATTCTCTTATCTATTTAGTATCCAATACTATGATGATGTAACGAATGCATTTATTTGATAATGAAGACTATGAATCATGTGTGACAACAATTGATATTTGAGTATATCTGAAAAACTGAATTCGTAACAATATACAACGATAAACTTGTGTAATTATTATGTTTAGATATTATAAACAATTGATTTATTATTATGATTGGTTATTATCTCTGTCTAATCAGTAGTTTTGTTTTTCAAATATGATGATCACGAAGTCTTGTTGAACATCATTATTTTTTTGGGCTTTATATTTAGTTTAGTAGATTTGTATTGTAACGTTATCATAACGTTTTAGCCTAAAATGACAAACAAAAAACTATATTTTAATTTATTGTGATTTCACTTTGATTTAGTTGATATTTAAATTTGTAGTAGATATATTTAGTTTGTTTTAAATTTATTGCTAGTAAGATATAAATATATATTGAATTCAATAAATCAATGTCATAAAAGTAGACAGACAAAAAATTATACGGTGAAACCAGTGGTTTAAAATCGGACCAAATCGTTAGGTTTAGGTTTGAGTTTTTTTTTTAAACCGTTCAAAACGGTTTGGTTTGGATTTGGGTTTTTCCCAAACCCGTTTAAACGGTTTGATTTGAAAATTTGTCAAAAACCGGTAAAATCAGATCGCTTACACCCTAGACAACCCATATTTCCATTGAGTGACTTAACCGTGGCTCCACGGAACTGCTAGTAGTAGTAGTAGTAGTCGTCCTATGTCCATAAGGGTGCCTGACTTTGATACCATTAGTTACAACTTATAAACTACATATAGTACTACTCACAATTAGAACCGATTGTAAGACGAAGGATTTCAAGTGATTATAAGCCTATTAAGTTAAGTTTTAACTCAAGGAAACAAGACCGAAGTCATTAGATTCATTACCAATGAGGTTGAAGTAGGATAAAATACAACTTAAGTAAACATTATTCAAAGAACCAAGAAGCATCCAAACAAACAAATTAGTTAGAATTAAGGAACAAGATAGCCTAGTTCATCTTAACATTACAAATATCTGCAGGACTAGGATCGATCAAACACAATTCTCCACAGTTAGGATCAACTCAATGCTACTTAGCGAATTTTACAGTCTTCCTATTCTCCAAGAAATCACCTCTTGTTTCCATCTTCACAGGCAATGGAGCTGAGAAAACAAAACCTCCCATTTCGACATGTTTACTTTCACTTTCTGGATAATTTCTCAATTCTTTTTCGCCACCACTTCCATTTTCCAACAGATCTTTCTCCTCCTCATCATCCTCAGCCTCTTTCGAAGACACTCCAATTTCTTCAACTTCTCGGCAAAGATTGTCAAGGAGCTCTCTCTCATCATCAATTGAATCATCCCCATTAATGCTAACATCACAGTCCCCATTTGAACATGGCTTCCCGGTTGATCTGTAAACCCTGTAAACATTCCCATTCTCAGCAAAGGTTACACTTTTTCTTCCCTTGGATTGAACCCCATCACCCCTTTTCATCAAACCAACATTTCTATTCTGAAAAACACCTTGATCTCTTATCATAGAAATGTCACTGACACCAGAGTTTTCAATTAACTTGACTCCCTCCTCATCGTACTGAGATAATTTATTGATCCTTTCTACTAGAACTTTCAATTCGTCCACATTGACATTGCCCAAAATTCTCTTACCTTGGGAAACCCTAGATTTAACATTATTCTCCCCATTCCTCACATTCTTAACTAAACTATTTGAAAGCTTCCTTCTTTTCAAACCCTCGATGAACTCCAGAAAATTAAACAACTCCCTGCTTAGTGATTTTTTCCCATCTCTAATCATGGGATCACCACCCTTCAAAAACAGAGAATGATCAGAAAGCACACATCAGAACCGCACCATGTATTCATAAAACAAAATGCAAAATTATGCATATATGTTGAACACAAGATTTGAAAAATACAGGTCGAGAGGTAAATAAGATGGTCAATGTGGCAAACGACGCATCATACAGTCTTAATTCTAAAAGTAATGTGGAAGATTTTATCTTTTACCTTAATGGAGTCGAGTTTGAGAAGCAGGGCCATGGTTTTTTGAGATAAAGCTTCGCAATCATAATGGGTATTTTCAGAAACTGAGGATTTCAGAATGCTGAGCGTGGATTTGACGGAAGCAAGATCTTTGAGCTGCCGAAGGGTTCTTGACCTGCGTGCAAGGAAAACTCTGAAGTGGGACTGAATAATAGAGGCAGCAGCCTCACGAAGGGACTGAGAAGACGAAGGAGATCGGCGGCGGAGGGCGGACTCGAGGGCGGCGATGCGGCTGAGGAGGGAGGATACAGACACAGTGGGGTCTCTTTGTGTTTGTCGGGGTTCTTGGAAATAGCAAACGGGGTAGTGTTGAGGTGGATTTGGGAGGTGGGGTGGCGTGGTGTAAGGTGGATCTATGTGGGTTGGTGTGTGGTGGATGTGAGAAGGGGTTGCGTGGAGATGGACCTCCATCGCTGGCGGTGGTGGCAGTGGAAGAGAGTCATAGTGACAAGTGGAGTAGGTAGTGTGGAAACAATGGCATGAACAGGTGGTGGCGGCGGCGGTGGTGGGGTTGCAGAGGTGGTGGCGAGAGGCCATTCGCCGGCTGATTTGTGCTGCGGGCCAGTAAACGGATTTAACACTGAGGGTGTGGGACTTGAGTGTCTAGTTCATTTCCGTGAGGGTTTTAGAAGAGTAAGGATTGAAGCACCTTCTCTCTGTCAAGCATTGGGAAGGTTTAGATACAAGGCTGAACAAACTTCTCGAATCGGACCTGAATCGAACTTAATTGAATCGAACGGTTCTTCTTAAATTAAATACTCAAACGGGTATCTGAATCGAGAATCGATGAATTTGATTCAAATCTCGATTCCAGACCAAAAATCGAACAGTCGAATAAGAACTGAATCTTCCTAATTTTTTTAATTTTTTATCTTAAACAAGTCAAATTATTTTTTTTTTAAAAATAAATTGCTAACTAATTAATTTAATCCAAACCCAAAATATGATTTTACTATTTCTAATTTTCAGTCAAGTCCAACTTAATCAAATTGACATAAATTTTACCCAAATCTATTATTCTACCGTAGTATCATTTCTATCATTTTATTATTGTGAATTAGCCATCTTCCTCTTCCTTTGATTTTAACAGTCAAATCTATAAAGAACTCAACAAAGAGAGGTGCAAAAGATATCATGAAATTGAATTACGTTATTTTGTAAGAGTTAAGATTGAATATGTCAAAATCGAATTAATATAGTGTTGTAATATATACAAAAATTTAATTATCGTATGGAATCCCAAAACCGAACCGAATGGAACCAAACCTGAACGGTTCCATAATTAAATTTAGACCCGACAATTCCATTTATTAAATACCCGAAAATTTTGGGTTCGGTAGCAGACCGGACCCTTCCATGGCCACACCTAGTTAGATCATCTTCAAAATACTATGTCTTGTTTGGTGGAAATTAAAATCAAGTACATCAAAGTAAACAATTAATTTTAATCACACATTTCGTGAGTTTCACAACTTTTTAACCATACATTTCATCAGTTTCTATTAAAATCGACCAAAAATCTAATTTCTTAAAAAGTATATTTTATTGTTAGAGATTAAAACTTTTTAAATACCTTCAACTTGATCTATGCATACGATTGCACATTATTTTTTTTACATGATAAAATGTAGTAAGCATCTTCACAATAAGGTCTCTATATATTCTCACCAAATTACCTATGATGTTCATAGAGAATCTTAAGTCAAAATACTATATAACCAAATTTCAACATATTAACATTGAGGTAACAAAAGTATCTATCATATCGTGTCAAAAGTTATACATATACAATACATGATCCCAAAAATATAATACAACAAATTGTAAGACCAAAAAAACATACCACAACATAGCCCTATAAGTCGTCATCCATGTACATCAAATTTCGGAATCCTGTAAGAGCTTCACAACTCTCTGTGTCTTCTATGATGTTTCATACTCACCTACAATACAAGAATTACATAACCTAATGCTCAATAAGCAAAAATCGTGCATGCATGAGTATGAGTAATAGGAGTATATGATACTGTCATTTTCTTTAAACATTATGCTAAAAATGCCCCATTCATATATCCATCAAAGTTAGCTTGAAATAATTTCATTTGAAATCTTTTCCTTTCATTAAGCCTTTACCCATCTACTATGCACTGGATAGACCTCGGCGCAATATCGATATCAATAATCAAATGGTCCACATGATATCGACATAATCAAATAGGCCATCCTCTCATAACCACTAGAGACATATTCCCTAACTATACCATGATCGCCTAAAAGTATCCCTTCGGAGGCACCAATATCATAATATCACAAGAGCACAGTTGAGTGGTCCACCCTCCCGTGATCACCAAAGACACATCTCATGTCTACCTTTACGATCACAGGAGAAGTTTCATCCGCAATGCGAAAACATATCACATAAACATGTCTCACATGCCTCAGTACTCTAGTAGTGGTATAAAACGTTTTATAAAGTAAACTCATTTTCCAATCATATCATGCAAACTAAATTTTAACAATAGACATATGTCGTGCATGCACATGCAAATACTCGTGAATGACACACTCATTCAATATATTTAGAAGCAACATGCTCAATCATCGTAACCATCATACAATACACAATGAACTCCTTATCAAAGTTATATAAATGTTACGACAATATTCCATAGAAATGCATAAATATTATGTTTTTGTATTATAGTTGTAAATGGATTTTTACTTACATTTCACCTTTTTGTGTGTGTGCACGCACGCTCTACGAAGTGTGGGTCAAGTCTCTTTTTCATCTAACGTCGGAAGACAACCTGTATTACCATTTAGTATTAAACACGATCCTCAATTCGATAACCTTGACACATACACAACCCTTCACTATGGGAATTAATGTCAAATTAATTTAGATAACGTTATCACTTCAAGTAATTGATTGTTCTCCAAAACAATCTCATAAATCCCATTATTTTCAAAGTTTAATTAGGAATGTCAATGTCATCTAATTGTTTCTAACTACCTAGCACTTATTAGAATTAATTTTTCAAGCCTTAGAGGTGATTATTGGACTTGTAAAGGTTAAAACTAAGCAACTATCAAATTGGACATAATCTGTTTTCAGTGTTCTATCACTATCCACTAATTTTTCTAGCCTATTTTCACACCCTTAACTACATCCATTCATTCCCAACTTTTACCAGACTTATATAGCATATATATATGAATATAATCAAGTCATGAATTCACCACAAGTACATGATTTTCAGCCTCAAGCTAAGTTCATTTTATAGCACATTATATCAAGTAGCTTACTATGACCGTCTTTGGTTTCCAGTACATTATCGTGCCACAAATCAGTTTCCAACCTATTAAAACTTATCTTCATACCTATGAGAACATTTACGTTCCTTTCAAAGTATAACATAAGATTCAAAGTTATATTACTAAAATCCAGCAACCGTTAATTTCTGTCCATGTTGAGTTAACTCAAGTTTTTACAACCAATTACCCCTCTTTTGTCATCATTAAATCATCAACACACCCCAACATGATCTCAATCAAGTCCAAAGGTTCAACATGATATAAAACCTTGAAAAAAAATATAAAGACAAATCTCAAAAACTTGAGCTAACTCACCTGCAAAAAACTTTCAATTCCAGCTTCTTGTTTTCTACTTTTCTTTGGCTCTTTTGCTTTCTTTTTCACTTGAAATCAATTGGGGATGAGTTGAAGGAGTTAGATTCTTATTTAGGAGGTCAAGAAGATGTCTTTATATGGATTGAGTCGCGAGTAATGCTAATGAGTGAAGAAAATTGCTATTGGGGATGAGTTGAAGGAGTTAATATATTATGTAGGAGATTGATATGTTTTAAATATTGGTTGCTTAATAGTTTTGGGCCCAATGATGTAGCCTAATAATACAGCCCAATGATGTAGCCCAAATTGAAAATCCAATTTTGTTGAGTCCAGCCCATTATCTGAATGCAACCCGGTTAGCTTTTTCACCTTATTCATTCTTGCATTTTAAAGTGAAGTGTGACTTTGGTTATTTTATTTGAAGGTTGAGATGATGCCATGTTGAATAGCTGTGACTATTTGATGCTTCTGACTGTTTGTATTATTAGCTTGACTCTTTATTTGCATCGATATTCGAGATTATTCTTAGGGTTTTCTCTATTTTGCTCTCTGTGTATTCTCTCTGAAAATCTTTATTTTTCGTCTTGTAATATATGATTCTTGATGTTCTTGGTGAGGTTTAGTGTTGATTACGGTGTAGTTGTGGTGAATCTATTCTTTGGTTGAGCATTAACCTTTGGTTACTTTGTGTAACTTGTCGAGAGTTTCTTGAGAGAAATTTTTTGGTCTGAGAGCATAATCCTTTGTGGATATATGTATTGTGAAACTTGTATTGTTTTTCCTGATTTCTAGTAGATTGGAGCGATAATCACTTCGGTGTTTACTCAATGGGTGATTAGCCCTAATTTGGGTGAACATCCGGGCCTACGAGCGAAAAATATCTTGTATGATTTAACTTTCTGTAATTACTTGGTGTTTTTGGGGCCTGTATAATACCAACAGTGGTATCAAGCACTTTGATCTTTATATAAATTCTTCAATCTGGTTTTTTTTTTTTTTTGTGTTCTTGGTGAACAAAACCCTAGATTTTCAAGAATCGGTATTGGAAAGGGTTGGGTCCTTATTTTGCGGAGAAAGTAAAATATACTCTTTGTATTCACTATTTTACATTATTAATCTGAGATATTTGGTAACGAATTTCTAACCCCACTTCTTATATCTTCTTTCGATTTGTAGATTTCTTGGATCTCTTAGTTGAAACCCTCTCAGATCTTCCTTTGTCTAAGGTTTCTTTTGAAAACCCTAGAATCTAATGGGATTGGGATTAACGATTTCTTCAATATTACTTTAAGTTCTTACTTTCGAAAGTTACATATTCTGTTGTTTGGGTTATTATTTGTGTTATTTGTTCTCTGTTTTTTAATTGTGTACATTTGTGCGAAAATTTTCTACACATTAACACTCCGTGTGTGTACATTAGTTGGTTTGTTACTCTCTGCATTTGGTACATCAAACTTTGCTCTGTTATAAAACTGTTAAACATTCACTATTTTTCAAGTTTAAATATGGGTAGTACTAAAGTTGATGTTGAAATCTGGAATTGGAAAGGAGACTTTAGTCTCTAGAGTCAGAAGATGAAGGCTCTGTTAATACATTTTAGATGTGCTAAAGTCCTTGATGAATCTTGGGGGGAAGAAGTGGCTAATAATAAAAGAATTGAATAAGATGAAACTGCATGGAGCGCTATCTTTTTGCATTTATCTGATAGTATCATTAGAGAAGTAGGAAAGACTGAGACTGAAGCTAAAATTTGGACAAAGCTTGAATCTCTTTACAAAACTATGACACTTCCCAATAAATGTTACTTGTGGAAACAATTATTTAGCTTCAAGTTTGATCCTAACTATGATCTTGAAAATAATCTTGATAGATTCAATAAACTTTCTTAATATCTCACCAATAGTGGT